CCTATTCCATGAATCACTCCATAGCTTATTATTCGGACATCAACTTTTGGACCAAAATGACTTCCAGAAATCTTATAAGCTAGTATATACTGTAGGTGTCTGTATTAGCCTTGTACATTCTCCCACATATCCACTTATTTATCAATGTACTTTCAAACATGATTAACCGTTGTCCACCTGTGCTCCCGTATTTGCCTTTACAAGCAAACCGAAAGTAGACAGGTGCTCAGTGGATCAATTATTGTTTTGCAAGAAACTCATCTGCGTAATAGCACAAAGATGTGCACGTTAAAATTTTATCACTAGTAGATATAAAGAATGTCGACGGAATGTTTAATGATTTGTGCTATAGATCTTGGCACATCGTATTCCGGGTATGCTTTTGCCCCCAGAAAAAATCTCACAAACAATGGGTGTGATATTTACGCCAGCCACTGGGAGAGCGATCTGCTGTCTCACAAGACACCCACGGCCATCTTACTGGACCCCATCATGAATTTCCAGGCATTCGGACATGAAGCGAATAAAAAATTTGCCAAATTAACCGAAGATGAAAATCATGCAGACTGGTTTTATTTCAAAGACTTCAAAATGGATTTATATGAGAAGGTTTGTTGGTGATGACTTGATTATATATACATGTATCTGATGAATTAGAGTGATAACTATACAATATAAATATTCTGGTTCTCACTAATCATTCAATTTTCATTTAAAATATCATTTAGATCTTTTAAATTGATAGAATTCTTTTATGTCAATTTGAAGTACATGTAATTATTTTGGTAAAAATGTTACATCTCTTTTTCAGGATTTAACAGAACGTACAATGATCCAAGACATCCACGGAAAATATGCATCAGCTCTAAAAATATTCGCAGAATGTTTAAAATTTCTCCGTGGACATTTTCTTGATATGCTTCAAGGGCGTAACATGGGTATATTGGACGAATTCATCTTCTATGTGGTGACAGTCCCAGCAATATGGAGTGATGCAGCAAAACAGTTCATGAAAGAGGCTGCCGTTATGGTAAATCAAATAAACTTATATTTACAGAATACCGATTTCATATAAGTTTAGCTGAAATTTTGTAAATTGAAAATAAGTCATTAAAAATCCATCTATTTGTCCAGCTGTAACTATGTCTTGGTCACTTGAAACTTTGAAAAATCAAACATATGTGTCTCACATTAATTTAATTTATTCAAAATGTGCCCTGAGAAAATCATCAAAGATCCAAAATGAAATAATGGTCAATAAAAAAATAAAATTCAAAAAGTTCACACTGACTGACATATAGGTCATGTCAAACGATGTAACATACAAATACCTTTGATGTGTTACTTGCTACTGACCCCTGTGAAGAAAGTCAGAAATACCGGTTGTTCAACTTCTCATTATGACATTCCATATTTTTTTCTGTTTAGCATTCAACTACATGTATAATATAAAAAAACTACCTATTTGTTCACAATGAAAAGTATTTACATACCCGGGGTATTCTAATTGAAAGATACTTAGAGAGAGTGAGAGAGAGAAAAGAGAAAGATTCGAAAGAGAGAGAACAGGCTTGAGGATGTGTTTGTTAAGTTTGACAGTGCTAAATTTTCTAAACAAGAGGCCCATAGTCACTTTGATCATGCTGTTCTTCACAAGATTCTCCCTAATGTAAATGGTCCCGCCCTACCCCAGGGATCATGTTTTGGGCAATTTTGAAGTTTCAGCTTTCTTGGTCCAGTGGTTCTTAGAAGATTTTTCCAATATACTCAGTATTTTAATGTAAAACTTGGACTCCCTATTCTGGCCCCACCCTATACCCGGGGGTCATGATTTAAACAATTTGAATCTACACTACCCCAGGATGCTTCGACATAAGTTTCAGCTTTCTTGGTCCAGTGGTTCTTGAGAAGAAGATTTTTAATGACACACCCTATTTTCGACTTTTCTTGATTATCTCCCCCTGGAAGGGGCCTTGGTCCTTTATTTTAACAATGCAAGATCCTCTAAACATACAAGTATAGAGGATCATTAGAAAAGAATCTTACTTTTATTTCGTTCTGTTTAGGCAGGGATGTGTCGACAACGCCTTGAATTGGCTCTTGAGCCCGAGGCCGCAGCTCTCTACTGTAAGCGGCTAACACAAGACAGGACGGTCGAGAAGGACGAACCTCCTGAATTCGTGGTCGATCGGCCATATGTGGTTGCCGATTTAGGTGGTAGGTATCCAAAGGAACCCCTCTCTGTATATTTTAGATATAGTCATATATTAAACAATTCAAGGATATATGTTCTCAGAACGGTCTTACTTCTATTCATAGGTGGGACTTCAGACATCACAGTTCAGAAAGTTTCGGCGACAGGCAAGTTTCAGAACCTGTACAAGGCCTCGGGTGGGCCTTGGGGAGGAAACAAAGTCAACAAATGCTTCCTAGAACTATTTGTCAAACTTTTCGGCGATTCCTTATTTCATGAATTCTGTGAAAAAAATATGGATGACTTCTTTGAATTGTTACAAAATATTGAAATAAAGAAGAGATTGATTTCTGGAGATAAAAACGACACGATTTCATTAGATATTCCCGATTCACTTATGGATCTGTATAAAAACAGTTTAGAAACGGCAATAAAAAACGCAAAATTGCATGAAACAGTTAAGGCAAGGAAGAAAAAAAGGATAAATATAAGTTTTTCTTATTTCCAAGATCACTTTAAGGAAATATGTGGTAAAACTGTAAATTTAGTAAAAACCATTATACATGAAAGTGTTCAGTGTCAGCAATTAAAAACCCTGATTATGGTTGGAGGATTTTCGGAATCAAAGATGGTGCAAAGTATATTCAGAGAGAGTTTCCCGGGATATGACGTCAAGATTCCTTTAGACGCAGGATTGGCTGTTTTGAAGGGGGCAGTGATTTTTGGATATGATAGCAGTGTAATCCAAACTCGAATTTGTCCATACACATACGGAATAGCAGTTCTTAAAAGATTCAATCCCCATCTCCATGATAAATCTAAAAGTTTCCTCGAAGACGGACAATGGCGAGCTGATGATTGCTTTGAAAAGTTTTTTGAGGTAGATGAACCTTTAGCCATTGGTACTAAACGTTCTATCAGTGTTAATATCAGTCACGTGGGCGAAGATCGTCAAAGAGATAGAAGGGAGCACAAGGAAATCGAGGTGTTCTCGTCCTCGCTTCGCTCGCCTCTGTACACCACCGACCCCGAGTGTCGGTCACATGGTATGATAAGCGTGTACCCACCGGAAGGGGAGTGGCCCGTTTATGTGAGAGGACGTGTAGAAATAGAAGTTACGGGAACAGATTGTTTCAGTATCTCGTATATTGACGAAATAACGCAACAAACAACTTCAGGAATAATCGACTTCCTGAAAAAAAATACATAATGCTCTCGACAGACCCCCCCCTCATTTTATATCCAGACGTGTAAGGAATGTCTTTACTTGTTAATTTGCCAGTTTCTTGTCAAATAATTTGTGCAGTTGTATTACATGGAAGGTATAATCGGACGAAGTATCCATCAACAAGCTCAGTCCTTGACTGTTGAATTACCTTGCTTTCTAGCGAGCGGTAGAATGTCTTGTTCTGCAGGCTTCCACTATTTATATAACATGACCACGTGACAACCCTCAAATCGAATATTCTCCAAGAATAATAATAAACAGTTTAACTTAGTGACATCAGTTACACCCCTCGAGACCTTCACAAGCCTTTGACCCCCATGAATGAAAGTAACTATTGTTTATGCGAATATATCGTCTAAATATCTAAATGTCGAGTTAAGGCCCAAAAGAAGTGTTTTCTTTTTTGTCATGGAGTTTTTCATAGGAATATAAAATCAGGACAGCTGGTAAAGAAGCACAATACGTGTCCTTTTGAATCCCAGCCGTTTGTTGGAAGACCTTATCTCCGAATACTACATACATGTAAATGTTTTCAATGAGATCCCCAGTATGATTTAATATCAACTTTAAGGACCTGTTTATAGCATCAGAGTGATTTTTCAGAAAGTAATTTTGTTGATTACCAATCACAAGATAGGAAAATGTCTTTCATTTACATTGAAGATGCAATTGTCTATATGAATAAAATACGCAAATACTTATTTTAATTTATTCTCAGACTGTGGATTATTTTTTCAATTAATATCAATTGTCTGATATAATACATTTTGTTGTTAGACTACCAGATTTCAGAATATTCTTTTCTTAAATCATCTTCTTTAGAGAAAATGTTTTAATTTAGATTATCAGTATTGAAGAAAATAAAAATAGCTGAAAATAACCATCTGGAAGAGTTTTGTCTCGATATAAAAAGATATACTTTTATGATGATAAATTCTTAACATATTCTGTATTTTTTAAAGACGCTCCATGCAAATATTTTGATTAGTAATTTAACGTTACCAGATGCCTGTGAAGGCCTTTTTGGCACTTCTATCAAGGGTTCTTTAGCAAGTCAGTGTCTGTTGTAACACGGGGGCTCGGTTTTATTCTCTTATGGAAGATATTTCGTAACTAATGAATGTACTCTTTTCTATACTTTTAAGCAAGCTATTACAATTTTTAATTGAAAAGTACGTTTATTTCCCTTTAGTGGTTTTGCTTCTTGTTCTAAAAGTTGTTCTTTACGTCGCGGGTTCGAATCCCACTGCAGGAAGTGAGAACCTCCACTTGATAAGACAATGTAATCGGTATTGTAGTTGCTGGCACCAAAAAAGTCTCAATTAATGCACAAATTATCATAAAAAGCCTAGCACAAGTCTAATTTTGGCAATCTACTGTGGACAATGGTTCGATGTACTAATCCAGTTAAAATTGTTCAAAGGACATTTTAAATGCAGCAAGCATTTGAAGTCTTTCACTATTGAAAGACATTGCATTTAGGTAGGTTTTATACATTTGAAGTTTTCGCGCTCTGCGAGTGAAAGTGTTTCCACTCGAGCATAAAGATGTAAACAGATCGCGGCTCTCTGCATTACAATGGCGGAGAAAGCAGAGAATTGTTCGGACTTTGACCGACTATCTGGTCAGTCCTTGTCGGCTTTGAATGATGCCATTAAGGAAAAATTTCTGGGACAGGAAGGCTTTAAAGCAATGGATGACATATCGGCCAAAATATTCCCGTCCGTTTTTTCAGCTCTGAAGAACTGTTTACACAAACCTTTACAGAGACACCCACGGTACGCTGATGTGGAGTTTTTGTGGACGGGCAGTACATCAGAGGGAGTCAACATTCCCAACATGTCCAGAGGAGCTGATGGAAAGGTGGAGATGGAGTTTGAAATGGATATTTTATGCGTATTTCGGGATGTAGAAGTTGGTACGGCGAGGGACAGTCCGGTCATTATGGTACAACAGGAGGGGGCACCCAAGGGGTACTATCTTCTCTACGTGAACAGCCCCCAGTATAGACTAAGATGGGGACATTTCTGTACATCCCCTACCTCTCCTGGAAGAAAAAGTGAAATGTATTTAAATCCTTTACTAATTGTGAAAGACTTGTATGAACAGATCGAACATATATTTGGACAAATTCCACTTCTGAAAGACAAGTTTAAATTGGACTTTAATCCCCCCGCCGTGACGCTATGTTTAGGGGGATTTGACAGTATTAAAGTTAGCTGTGATTTAGTTGTTGCTTTAGAACTCCCTTCCAGGACTTTACCAGGAGGGTTTCTTCCTTGGATGGAAAATCACGGAAAACCCAAGTGGCTGTCAGATGATACGGTCCAACGATTAAAAAATGAATCTTTACATTTAGTAGGAAAATGTTCTCCAAAAGGACATGCAAGTATTGAATGGAGGTTGTCGTTCAACAGATTAGAAATTGGTCTTCTGCGTGAAATTCAGGAAAAAATCCCATTTGCCATCACCTGTTACAGGCTGTTTAAAAGCATAAGGTACTGGCATTTGAATTACCCTGATTTCCTCCACTCTTACCATTTGAAGATGATATTCCTCCGCGCGTGCCACGCCTTTCCAGCCTCGTCTTGGACAGAGGACCATGTTGCAGCTAATTTACTTGGTCTCCTTGACGACCTGTTTCATTGCTTGGCGACACATAATCTCCCAAGTTACTTTTTTCGTGATTGCAATCTTATAGAAGGAATCCATTCTGATTTCATTATGACATTAATAAAGCAAGTCAGTCAGATTCGACGTGACCCTGTAAAGTATATAACAGAACTTAAAAGATAGCTTTTTGAGTTTTTTTGTTTGTTTGTTAAACGTTTTTTGAAATTTTTTACTCAGTTTGAGACGCGCCAACAATATTTCCTGTGGAAGGCTGCAAAAGCAGACCCTTATTGTACATTGAGTGCCTCTGAACGCTGATGAGGAATTTTTTGTGCCAGCACCTACTGCGACACGGGACCTCGGTTTATCCAGTCTTATCCGAAGGACCGGATCCACTTCCCGCTTTGGGATTCGAACCTGCGATGTAAAGATTCACTACTTACTGCACCACTCGCACAACGCAGGTGACCCTTCAAAATATATTTGGAAACGTTGCTTCAAACGTCTAATCCGAGTCATAGGTCTTACTTTTAATCTTCAATAATACTCAACAAAATTCTCTTTAATTATAAATTTCAATACATGCTTTAGGTAAATGTACTAGTGTACAAGAATGCGAAACCTTGCAAATAATCGTCACAAACCAACCATCAGCTTTAACAAAACAGGTGTAAAACATGCATGACGTTCCTAATTGGGGAAACTGCAAATCGCTCTGATATGAAACAGTCCTACTCCTATTGAATGTACAGAAGCTAAGTCAGTTTAGACAAAAAGCGTGTTGAATTAAGATTAGTAGACTACATAAATATATATTGTTTTATGTCACGATCGAGAATTTTCAGTCGTATAGAGATGTCATCACAAACCGACGAAGGGCTTTAAATTTAGACCATTACTCGGGGCCATTGGGTAGTGAGGGTTCTTTAATTGTGCCAACGCCTACCATGACAAGGAGCATCGGTTTTTAAGGTCTTATTCGAAAGACTCGAAACTTTCACTTCAAAGTGTAGAGTGTTTAGCGAAGGAACAGTTGCTACCTTTTGTTATCGACTTAGGTCAGTCGCGGCCGTGATTCGATCACACGACCTCCTAATCACACCATACATTTTCAGGTGACCTACTGCTATCCTTTTTCGTCCGTCGTTGTCCGTCGTGTGTTTTTTTAACATTTGAACATTTTCAAATTCTTCTCTGAAACCGCTGAACCAATTTCAACCAATTTTAGCATAAAGCATCTTCATGTGAAGGGGAACAAAAATTGTGAATTTCTTGATCCTAGGGGGTGGGGCCCAAACCACTAAAATTAATGCAATCTTTAAAAATCTTCTTTACTCCTGGACATCAAGCAGTCAAACTGTTGGTATGATTGTAATCAGCATTGAGCCCACCACCAAAATTGTGAAATTCATGGCCCCAGAGTCAGGGGTTCTAGTGCTAGGGCGGAGCTAAGTAGATTATTTAGCAAAAATGCATTATTTCTTTGAAAATCTTCTTCTCTGCTTCTTGGTATTAAACAAACATTCTACATAAATATTTAAGATGAAGAAGGCTACCCCTTCCATAATTGTGAATTTTATGGCCCCAGGGTCAGGGGTTCTGGTGTTAGGGTGGGGCTCTATTGATTATATAATTAAAATGCATAAATTCTTTAAATATCTTCTTTTCTGCTCCTGAGTATTAAACCAATGAACTATGTACATAGTTATGATGAGGAAGGATGCCTCTTCCAGATTTGTGAATTCCAGGGCCCCTGGGTCTGGGGTTCTTGTGTTAGGGTGGGGCTGTAGTGATTATATAGTGAAAATGCATGAATTCTTTGAAAATCTTTTCTTTTGCTCTTGTGTACTATGCCAATGATCTAAGTAGATATTTATGATGAAGAAAGCTGCCTCTTCCAAAATGGTTAATTTCAGGGTCCAAGGGTCAGGGGTACTTGGATGGGGAGGGGGGTTACATAGTCTTAAAATAAATTAATGCTCTGAAATCTGCTCTTTGGTATTAATGAATCATTTATGATGAAATAAAATTTATGATAAAATTTACAAAATTTAGAAATATGTGGTCCCAGGGTCATTGGTTCCCTTGGGATGGGGTGCACACCTGGTTATAAAGTGGAAATGCATTTTCTCTTTGTTACTCTGATCAACCCTTGGGTACTATGTATTGTTAATTTCATGGCCTCTGGTTTAAAACAGGAATCAAATTCTTTCACAAGAGGATTTTTTTTTCATAATACAGGCACATTTGGCTATGAATTTACTCTTTTAGCAGTATCTTTGCAACAACTTCCTAAATATATAACCCTAATAATTCAGGATTTCATTATTTTTTTAATTTAAAGATAGATTGAGGGAAATGCTACATTACATATAACGATATCACAGAACAGAAATTGGATATAAAAGTATAAAAAAAAAATTCTGTGATTAAATCATACATAACAGAATCTGCAAAAATAACAAGCAAAATGTCCAACCATTCTATTGAAATGGCACAGTGCAAGGAAAAAAAGCACAGTCACATAAATATTTCATCATGTTTTATATAAATGTACAAGTATATTTGATTTTTTTCTTGTTATCTGGTATTACTCAAATGTTTTGACAAAAAAAAATCTTCTCTGGTTTTATTTTTAAGCAAGATATGTTTGTGTGTCTGTTATTTCCCCCAAAAAACTCAGTACATCATTTTTTGTGGCAAACCCCTTTTAAAAGACTGAATTTGTAAGTATACTTTAGAATATGATGGTTTTACAATTTCTTGCTAAAAAGAAGCTGAATAACCTGGCACCAGGTCTATTTCTGGCAGCTTTTTTTTCCTGCTACAGATTGTATATACATGTAAAATTTGATGAATTCTACAGAGATTGTAAATGCACTATAGTCCACACACACTTTGAAAAAACTAAGAGTATATTCTTCATAAACAAGTACATGTACATGTAATTATGATACAAAAAAAAATTACAAATTAAAATAAGGAAAAGCATGAAGGCAATATATTTTGGCTTTGTATTGTAAACAAAATAAATAAAACAAAGTAGTATTTACAATATTTTATCCAATACCTGAACAACATTGTACCATAGACTGGATATGAATGGAAACTTTATAAGAAGATTTGAAAAATACCAAATAAAAGAACAAGGTTCACTTTTGCCTTATCTGGCCCTGTGAATTTCTGAAAAACTGAAACTGCATAGTTTTAGTTAACAATGCATTAAATATCACTTAGATCTTTGGTGACTGCATATCTATCAAAAATGACATCATTTTCTGGCTAGTCAATGCATTATGACGTCAAAAAATGCATCAATTTCCTCATATTCTGAAAAAGTCTACAAAAACAGCCAATTTCTAAAGATATTTTTCATTATTTTATATAGAGTGCAACCTCTGATCTAAAATAAGCAACTAGTAAATGATAGAACTGTTTCTGAGGATTAATGGATATGTTTTAATTTTTAGATCAGAGAGTGCGTTCATATTATTTTTCATCACTGAAAGTACTCAATTATACATCTTTACCTAAAAATTCAAGAACATTGCAATTTCATAAAGCCAGTTCTCCTAGACCTGGGCCATTAGAAGAAATTTTTAATAGGATATGAAAGCACCAAGTCTGTATTTTATTTTAATGCTTAAAGTAGAAAATCAAGTGTTGATCAATTAATTGCCATATCTACAGGGCCATTTTATGCATAAAGTGAACCGACTTCTTTAAATACAATTAATGCAACATTTTACAATTGAAAATTTAAGAATAAACTTTGATAGCCAGCTCTCTTTGTCCTGAAGCTCATCTATTTGGGGTGGCAGTAAAAAAAAAAATGTTGGATCAAACTGAGCAATAATTGAGGGTTTTCAACATGTAGACATGTCATATTAAACATGCACACTTTACCAGTGCCACTGAAGGTGACTACAATATTGATATTTTTATAATACTTCATTCAGACTCATTCTGGATTTTAATGATTTGGCATTCAGTCAACACGAGAAAATCGGCAGCAAAATCAAGTAATGCTGGTACATTTAAATAACAAGAATCACCATTCAATTAAAACGAAACATTTGTGAAAATAAAAATATAATTCAATTAACCTTTTGCATAGTGTGGATTGAACAATTTTAAGCTGAACATAACTTGTCAATAGGCTTAATCCATATTAGTTTTCCTATCTCATATATCAGCACTGGAGACCGTGGAGTGCTGCATTCATGTCACAGATACTTGCATGGCCAATACATGGTCAAGTAGGTTATCCTGCATTTATTTTGATTACATTAACTGTTTACACGTGTTTGTGATGTGCTAATCTGCACTAACCTATGCAACTGATTCACATTTTTTTCTCCAATTAGAAGCATGCAGTTACATTTGTCATTATTACTGAGTACAGTATTTTACGATTGCTAAATATATCACTCCTTTCAGATGGGGAATGAAATGTTTATTACACTAAATCGAAACCAGTTAATGCCTTACATAGCAGAAGAGAAATGTTACAAATCTTGTTCAGCTTTAAATTGAAATTCATCAAAACCAATGCATCAAAATCTTGCTGGATTTCTACATTCATGTGCATTTTTATGCAAGATTTCTTTTCTTGGTATAAATGAAAACATGAAATATGACACTAACTATTTATACTAATTTTTCTGCTCTGCACAATAAGAGTTTTGTTCTATTTTGGAGAAAACAATTGTATTAATAAAGAAAAGTTGGAATATTGTTACAACTTTGGTGTTCAAGTTTGATCAAGAAGCAAATCTACCAATGCAAGCTGCCTCAGTAAAAATCCATATTATGCAAATTGATCATTACACAAGATTAATGCATTCAACATTTCTGTGGTAGGAATGGTTTTGGTGTGTATCTGTCCTATTTTTTTTTCTAACAGCAGTTATAAAAACTTCCTCCAATAAAATGGATATTTATAGGGTCTGTCGTGGAATGTACACATCTAAAATCTTCTCATTTCCGAGCGTGTGAAGAATCTATTCATTTCAGAGAGTATTCTCAACAACCTCTTGATACAGTTAAGCACTTGAAATATAAACCTTTGGATACTTAACAATCAAAATTAATCAAAGAAATGGTGACAAGTTTTTTTGACCAAATAAAATTGTCAGTCTTGAATTTGAATGTTTTAAACAAACATTATACATGGTAAGTAAATGTGCCACAGAAAAAAAAATATATAACTGATTTAAATTTGTGAGGTGGGCCTAAACTGTAGATAGTATGGCAGTGAAAGAGTTGGACTAATAAAAAGAGTCGTAACTACTGAAGCAGTAAATCATAAATTTGACATCAGCCTTTTGAAAAAAAAATTCCTCTCTGTTTTCAATTGTAAATTTTAGACAACTTTGTTGTTTAGACAACAATAATAACATTTTTCTTGATAGATTACACTAATTTTGATATGAAATGTAACATGATATAAAAGAAAAATGGAATTAAGTATTATAAATAACAAACAATTAAAGATATAAATACATCCCTACGAGTGTTGATAGAGAACAGTTTTACTGACTATTGTGACTAAAGGTTACATAAAGATGTTCACATCATCAAACAAACTGGTAATTTTCTCTTGCTACACCAAAGTTCATTTTTCCTAGAGGGGGTGGAGTTTGTCCAGGAAGTGAATAAAGGTTCATCCAATCTATTCTACTAGGGCGGATCAATCCACAGAATTGGAAGTCTAATATGTCAACAAGGTTTCTGATTGGCCCACGACTGCAAACACAAAACAAATCAATCCTTTTTTTGATGATAACAATTTATTTCACTGATTTTCAAGCATGTTTGATTGATTTTTTTTTAAAGTAGCATCAAGATAAATGTAAATACTGATATAAAACTGGGATAACTTTTTATGTAAATATTGCCCTTTAAATATCACATAACGTTTCTTTATTGATCAAATCAAATCATGAAGGGCACAATGAATATAAATCTACAACCAATGTTAATCTCCCTATTTGAGGCATTTTCCAAATCATGAAGGGCACAATGAATATAAATCTACAACCAATGTTAATCTCCCTATTTGAGGCATTTTTCCACTTTTTAGGCGGAAGCCGCCTTTTACTTTTGCATGGTTTGTTGACCTTTCGACCTCTCAAGATGTTTGCCCCGCTTCATGGTACTCCAAACGGATGTATCTTAAACTAAGGGCATACAACCCACTTAATCATATTCGACCCCCTTCCCAATCTTTATCGTTATTATCATATCAAAAAGCGTGTGTTATTGCGAATTTATTTTAACAATTTATTTTGATTAATGTAAAAAAGTCCAATAAAAATAATAGCCTAATAATAGAAGGAATAGTTACTTTAGTACTGCTGATACGTTTCATGGGTTTGAGAGAAGAACGAACGACAACTCTGTATGTCTAAAACATAAACAAATCGGGTTCAACATTTGATTAGCACGGGGTACTGAAGCGATCTTTAAAAATACTACGAGGGATAAAATAGTTCAAGTAGATAATTATGTTTAAGAATTAATGACAGGTACATAGCTACTGAGGAACTTATCTTTTCAATAATCTTGTATAAAATAGAAGAAAAGAAGTATATAACTCCTTTTATCAATTGTGTACTACATTCGTTTAGTAATCTAACATATAGACGATTCAGCGTGAAATTAATGTCAACAAACCCACGTGGAGCACAAATGATTTACAATGGTTGACTGGAAGTGACAGGCCTTCTCTTCAAAACAAACAAGGTAACTCACGCTGCGTGATTAGCCTATCTTCTATTGTCACCCTTATCTTTGATTGTTTTAACCTGAAAATGTCGCCTCCCTATGCAGGCATGCTTTAGACATGTTAGATATCGTAATATGATAGCTGTTATGGTCGGGTCTTATCGAACGAACTGGTACTCTAATTACCATGATTACATGCCTGGGAGAAATTATTTGAAGAATTATCATGCCGAGTTTGTGTATACATTTATATATCCTTTCTCATTTAATATTAATACATGTATGTTGAAGGATGGGCCAAAACTGTAAAATCTGGACAGAAATTAAAACGCAAGCATAAGAACTACATTGTGTTTTGTATAGATGTGTCCCTGCTACGGAGGCAGCTAACAGAAAGGGGATATAATTAAGATTGCATTGTGGATTTGCCCTGTGCCACCTCTAAATGGCAGAAGAAAACTCAACTCAGCAAAACCAGAAACACTTTTCTGAAGGTGAGTACATCAATTTATTATATTTCTAGATAAGTGGAAAAAATTTTCATATGATACATATTTTTTATAGCATAACAAATCATCTTGTTATGATGGCAAAACTGAACCGAATACTATTTTTGAAAGTATATTTTGACTTTTCTAATTTTTGTTGACTTATTTTCTTTTCCTTTTTTTTAAATACATGCAAATACATGATTACTTATAATAGTAGGCTTTTGAAAGAGAAAACAAATACAAAAAAATGTTAGAGAAGTCAAATCAGTCAATATTTATCATGTTTAATAATCGCTTACTCGATATCTAACTTTTTCATTACATGTACAGATAATTATGAATTCCATTGGAAATAATTTTTGGTACTAAAATTAGTTATCAAATAAAACACAAATGCACAATACACCCAAAATTACAAAAGGTTGTTTTAATTGGATCTATTTGAAAAACTGCTGTGTACACATGTAGATTATATAACTAGCGAAAGAGAGGGGACAGATGTTGTTGGTCAGGATCGCTAGTCTTATATTATTTCATTTGTTGGTTGTTTCCAGTATATTTACACTAAACTAAATACTACACAAGTTCACTTTCAGCAGTTTTGAATCTTTTGTTATTTCTATATACCCACTTCATTCTTGAAGTTGGTATAGTGGCATTAATTTCTTTGCATGTCAGATTTCACTGAATGAATGAATGTAGATCAAGGCGATAACGGGTGTTTTACAGCTAGGTGTAGATGAAGATATGCTAATTACCATTTGCATATTTTAGTTATAATTGATAAGTTTCTGATAAAAATGTGTACCTTGTAAAAAGAAATAATATACATCTGAGTAAACGAGTAACTTTTTTTTAGTATTCGATACTTGGACCTTGGATCGCGTACCCTGTAAAGTTGACTTCCCTAGAAAATATATTAGAATAACCGGTATATGATAAAAGGTTATTTGAAGTCCTTGATTTCATTTATTGAAAGTCAGATACATAATGTGAAATAATTTTTGTTAAATAAACATTGTGAGATATTCTTAATTTTTTTTTTCAATTATACACTTTGTAGAAAATTCTGCCAAGAGACAGTTGTGAAGGGAATCGTGTAGATAATCTCCAGAAAAGAAATCACCACTGATATTGGGATCTATGTACCAATATTTTAATACAATCATCAAAGACAAATTTACCACAGGAATAAAACTAAAACTGTCTGGCATTCAAGGGCCTGTCATGGTAGAAGCTCTCCTGAAAAAATATTCCATTTATTGTGGACATCATGACACAGGGTCCACCTGTCATCAGCATTAAAGACTTGTGTGATTTGTTCTACCTGGGCCATACATGTATTGAATGAAAACAATTCATAGAACCACAAGCACATTGTAAATCTATGTAAGGTCTTCTGTGTATGTTGTATTCCTTATATAATTTGCTGTTTTATAACAAGACTTTGTTTCATTGGTACTAAAACTTAATACATGTACACATACAAAACCCAAAAGCAGTTGTGATATCTATTGTTTTTTATTACTCATTAGTTCTCATTTTTGTGTGAAATTTTATAATTTTCCATTCCTTGTTCCCCAAAACCATGTCTTACAAATTTTATGTATTGCAACTTGCATTTCAATTTTAACTTGTTATACTTGACAAAAAACAAGAGGTACTGTGAGCAATGAACTGACTAAATGATACCCCCGCCTCCCATATGATTATAATGGAAAAGTCCATGTTTTGCTGTGGCCGGGAAACCCAAAATATTTGTCAGATCAAAAAGTAAAAGAGGAGGTGCACAATGGCAATATGTAATAAAGATTCTGTGAAGGTTTCATTAAATTTCACTCAGTGGTATAAGAGGAACTGCGGATAAGATATGAGTACCCCAAAGCGTAACAGACGGACGAACGGACAGCCAGACGTACGTACGGACGGACATACCGATAACAGTATACCCTCCCACTTTTCAAGCGGGGGTACAATAAATGTTAAAATGTTTATATTGCTATTGACGTGACTTATTCTCATGTATCCGCATCAAAACCGAGACATATTGTTTATTCTTGTTCCTTGGTTTCAATACTACAATCCATCAAAATATTTATCACCCCCCCCCTTTAAAAAAGATTATGCTTCAAATATGTGTCATTAAAGTTTTGCACATGAGAACCTGCAAACATGCTTCCGCCTATCAGTACTCTCAGTACTTTGATTAACATTGAAATTGATGAACTAATTAATCATAATATAAACGTAAAATATTAGAAATATTTAAGCATTGTGTTATTTTTTTTGGAAAGCTGTAGTTTCAATGTGTACAAACAAATTGTGTAATGTGTAGCAGTACATTAGAACCAGATAATGTAAGTGACTTACTCAAATGGATTTTGTCCTTTCTGTTTAGATTCCCCGCTCGGCCCGTGACTGTGCCCGTGACCATGACCTCTACGATTGTGGCCTTGGCCGTGACTCTCCGAAAAGTTCCCGTATAAATATTTGTATCTCCCATGATTCATTCTCTCGTTTGTGGTCATCCCAAGCCAAACCACCTATAACAAATCACAACTCTACTATAAATAACGGGGATAAAAAGATATTCCATTTCCCTTGTTTTAAATGAATGTTGTATGTACAGAAAATTCAGAGCTACAGATCATTTGTGAAATAATTTTTAAAACACACAGATCTAACTGTGATAAAATACTTATTGAAAAATAACAGAAATGAAAACAATAGACAAAAATGTTCTTAAAAAATACTTGCTCCAGATAAATTAAGCACTACTTTCTGCAATCTGAATACCTTGTCTGTGCCCTGATATAATTGTTCTCCTGTAAAGCTGTTCATGATTGAAATAAATCAAGGCTCGCATATAAACTGCAATAAATCCCTGACTTTATAAGCCTACCTGATAAAGCTGACAAGACAAGAGTACAGTCACCCACACAATGTGAATCATAGCGTTCGTCCCCACCCAGAACACCCAGGGGGAGGTCCTCAGGACTTTGTACAGGATACCAGTAATTCCGTCCTCATAGATATCAAATGGACAATTAACTCTCCAATCTGTCAAAATAATCAAATTTCTCTAATATTATGAAGACTTTTCAGAAACAAACATCTGTATCATAATTTAATTTGTCTTGAATAAAAAATATGTATCATATGGGTTATACAAATGTTTGTACCAGTAACTTTAAATACATGTATGTGTATAACTTACAAGCCAAGGTTCCATGGACACACCACGACAACATAAACAGGAGAAAGAGAAGGAAACCAATAAAGTATTTGTGGTTGTAGGCACCTACAAAGAAATCACATCACTAAAGACAAGGAAATGAGAATAAAATCAAACACACAATTTTATAAAGAACATACCTATATTTTGTATATCAATACTGGTGTCTTCTTTATAATTTAATGGATGTACTTTAAGTCCCCAACAAAAATTACACGCAATGATGCCTTTATGATGCATATGTAATTTTATGAAGGTAGAGATTCGCGATTCTTAAAATATTTTATGAAATGAAAAAAAAATCTGTAAAATGCAATAAAATGTGCTTCAAGAGAAGTGCCAGTGACCAAGGACTTTAATTCAATATAATTAAAATTTGTTTTCTATGTTTGGTTTAATACATGTTTGAGAACTACAGGAAAGATAACCTTTGCACTGTTTGAATTCTTCAAAAATGTTTTTGCAACAACTGTGTTTTACTGTAATTAACTGTCTTAAAGTTTATAAAATGATAATATATGGATATATCTCCTTCATGTTTTATATCATTCATTTCCCACTGTATACACACTTTACATGTATATACCTACCAATACAATTGTCTGTCCACGGACAATGATGGTCAAATTTGGCCACACATTTATCGCAGGCAGAGCAGTGCTTTGATCTGATTGGACGATGAATCAGACAGGTACTACAAAACTGATTTAATGTCAAGGTTTGCTTCTCTGCCAAATCTATAATGGTCTGTAGGGAAATAAAATATTTAAAATATCTCTATCTGTAAATTATTGAGATACAGTACTTAATTGTCTGTAAATGAATTAAATTTGATCACGTTTAAAGAAAGTTAATCACAAGTTACCTGTAATTTTTGTTCTCGGTTGGATTTGATGAATCCTGGGTCTGTCTTCCAGCACATGTAGAAATTATAACACAACAGAACCGTATTTAACCAGAACAGAATTGTCTTTGTCCAGGTCATCTCTACATCTAACCATCGCTCAAGAAAAATACACTGTATTTATAAGTTTTCATATACTGTACACGTATATACATGTGTACCTCTCTTATTTTAAGAAAAATATGCACTTGTTTTAACTGCAGATCTGTAACGCTCTGATCTGAAAAAATTCTGGCGGATGAAGAAGGAGCTACAATGCCACTCACAGAAAAAACTATATTTATTGCCCACAAAAAAGTTGCACTCATTTACTAATTAATTTTCCAAAATTCTTACCTCAGCTATACAAAAACTCGATTTCAATAATTCTTTTGACCCCTATCAAATACTCTTGGGAAGATGGACTTGACTTACAGTATCTATACAGGCCACATTAACGTTAGAGCATATTGGCTGCTATATTTTTCTATATATCTATCAAAATAAACATGCAAGAAAAGGATACAAGGAACTAGATACACAAACCAGGTGAAGAACATCATTATTTTGGAGCTAAGATACACAGACACGGGAATAATGTTCATCAATCTCTCGTCAAAGAAAAACCTGAAAGCAAAATATCAATATAGATACATGTATCTTCACATTCTTTTTATTATTCTAAATTAAATTAACTTTTTACTATCAAAGACAGTCATTCCCCCTAACTTGATAATACTTACATGTTGAGGAATTTCCAGAAGCCCGCAGCAAGCAGAGCCAGAATTAACTTATAGTACCAAGCTATGGAGAGTTCAGGGATCAGGCCAATGGTGTACACAGCAAAAAAAGGAAACCACCACATTACCCTCTTTCTTACATCCTGTAAAGGTTAAAATTCATGTATACC